GTCCGCCGGCAGCGTCACACAGGCCAGGCACTTTTCACCAATCCCGCCCGAGAGGGGGATGTGTGGCTGGAGTCGCCACCGCGCCCTGCTCCCGCAGGACTGCTCGGGCCCAGAAAGTCCTCTGCTGGAGTCAAACTGTGGTAGAGTGTCAGTTTCTCTCACTCACCTCACCATAAGTCAGTGCACGCCTCCCTGCCGTTCGCAGATTGCCGTTCTCAGAGCTTCTGCACGTCTCTCCCCTTGCCGAGCCGCTGTAGAGGCAGCCAGCCGCTGCGCGGCGGGAAACCCAAATCGCGGCTTACAATGGCGCGGTTCCAGCCTCCACACCGAGTCTTTTCTGTTCCTGTTTTAGCACCAGGACTGCATTCCAAGTTGGCTTCCCTCAGCCCAGTTCGTTCCTGAGTCAGCAGAGCATATCTCCACCTGCTTATGTCTCCTTAGTCCGCACCATTCCTGGCTTCTGAGCCGAGTCTTTCAGAGAGCCGCCGGTAGTTGCTGTTATCTGTCCGCCATGTTCTCCCGGAAGAGTCAAATGGCAACTTAATTGTGTGTACTGAGCAATTGGCTAGATCTTACATCTTTGACATCCTCCATAATATATTAAAAGATCACTGTGTGTCTTTCCAGTCTGTAAGAGTCCTTCCATGAGGCCTGTAGGCCGTAGAAGTCTCAGTAAGCAGTCTAGCCGGGACAGAAATTCTCAGCACTACGTTGTGGTCAGGGCAGCCATGACCACAAAAAGTCTTTAAAAGCAGGGAGAATTTAGAAGCTACCAACAAAAAGATAACCAAGGTGTTAAAATTGCTCTATGAAAAAAAATTTTTTTAAACAGACAAGAGTTTCTGGGGGCGGTTGGATACTGTAGGCTAAATTTTACTAAAAAAGCTTCCTCTATAGGACTCCCATAAGGGAAAAACTCAAAACTCACTGAACTGGACTGATAAACATGAATGGGCCTTCCAGCAGCTCAAGTGGGCCTTGACAGAGGCCCCAGCCCTGGGACTCCCTGACATTACCATGTGCATAGATAAACTCAAAAACATTACTAAAGGAGTTCTAACCCAGGACATTGGCCCTTGGAAGAGGCCTATAGCCTACCTCTCCAAAAGACTTGATCCGGTGACAGGAAAATGCCCGCCCTCCCCCCCCCCGCGCGCCTGAGAATCCTAGCTGCTGTGGCAATGTTACTTAAAGAGGCTAAAAAACTTACTTATGGACAGAAGATTTCTGTGGTGATCTCCCACAGTTTAGAGATGCTTATCAAAATCCCTCCCGAAAAATGGCTTTCAAACGCTAGAATTTCACACTATCAGGCCCTGCTCCTAGACCCAGAGTCGGTAGTTTTCAAGGCTTCTTCAGCTTTAAACCCAGCAACCCTTATGCCTGATGATGACCTGGAGGAACAAAGCACACCTCTCCATGAGTGTGCTGACATCCTTAAACTGCAACAGAACCTACGGGCTGATCTTACCAACCAGCCTTTGGGAAATGCCGATAACTATTTCATTAATGGAAGCAGCTTCATCCAAAGCAACAAAAGTGTGGCCAGGGCAGCAGTGACCACCAAAAAGGAGGTTCTCTGGGTTAAGCGGTTGGAGCCTGGCACCCTGCCCAAAAGGCGGAGCTCATTGCTTTGACTGAGGCACTAAAACTAGCCATGGGAAAGAGGGTAAACATTATACTGATAGTAGATATGCTTTTGCTACTGTACATGTACATGGAGCCATCTATCAGGAGCAAGGTCTCTTAACCTCAGCTGGGACTAAGATTAAAAATGCTCCACAGGTTCTAGACTTGCTGGCAGCTGTCTGGCTACCTCAACAAGTTGCTATTATTCATTGCAAGGCTCACCAGACAGGAGATGACCCTGTCACCTTAGGAAACAGTTTGGCAGATAAAGCTGCTCAAAAAAATAGCAACCACATCAGAGGGACCAACCAAGGAAGTAACTGCTCTGATGCTAGTCCCTCCAATCTTGTCAGAACCAGTCTACACAAAGAAAGACCTACAGTTAGCATCTCAACTTGGAGCGAAGTCCCCCACCCCAGGGGGCTGGTACCAGTTACCTGATAAACAAGTACTGTTACCGGAGGTACTAGGGTGGGAGCTGTTACACTGGGCTCACCAGACTACCCATTTAGAGAAAACTAAACTTGCGGAATTGTTCAGAACTCAGTTTTTTATTCCAAAACTCTGCAAACTGACCGCCTCTTTGAGCTCCAGATGCCTACAGTGCTTGTTAGTCAACTCAACCAAGAGCTCTACACTGGAGACCACCTGACATCAAGGAATTGTTCCAGGAGAACATTGGGAAGTAGACTTCACAGACATGGTAAAGCCTGGTTTACAGGGGCACCGCTATCTCTTGGTATTAGTAGAAACCTTCACTGGCTGGGTAGAGGCTTTCCCTACTAAGTCTGAGTCAGCCTTAGTGGTAGTTAAAAAGCTATTGCATGAGATCATACCTCGATTTGGCCTCCCACTATCAATGGGGTCCGATAATGGCCCAGCTTTCATAGCCCAAGTCACCCAAAATTTAGCCCAAGCCTTAAAGATTAATTGGAAAACTCACTGTGCCTATTGGCCACAAAGCTCAGGGCAAGTAGAACATATGAACCAAACTCTCAAGGACATTTTAGCTAAGCTATCTTTAGAAACTGGTGATAATTGGGTGAGCCGTCTTCCCTTTGCACTGTTAAGAGCTAGATGTACCCCATTTGTTTCTGGAATTTCCCCCTTTGAAGCTATGTTTGGGAGGCCCCCGCCATTGGTTCCAAGATTGTCAGAAGATAAACTAGCTGAAATAACTAATCAAGATCTCATTAAGTCCTGGCAGACTCTCCAACCCATGTTGACTTCAATCCACCAGCTGTTTAGACAAAAACACCTGGATCTGCCTTCAGAGACACCCCTCAAAGTGCTGATCGAGCCGGGGACTCCAGTCTTGGTGTGATGTCACCACCGTGACTCCCTTGAACCCTGCTGGGAAGGACCTTTCACCGTGGTGCTCAGCGCTCCCACTGCTGTCAAGGTAGCAGGAAAGACTGCATGGATTCACCATACCCACGTCAAACCACTGGAAGCAACAGACAGTGAGGAGTGTTCTTATGGACTATACAGCAGACTGGTAACCCCTTAAAGTTAAAATTGACTAAAACATAGTTAGATTATGCCAGTCATGAATTGCTTTGGCTTGCTTGCTTTGATTTTAATAACATTGATGCCAACCTTGCATGGCGGCTTTGGTCCCCCTGTAAGCAAAGAACAATTGTTAAGATCTTTGTATGGAAACCCCTGTGATTGCAGAGCGGGCTATACTACTAAAGGTAAAGATACCAACTGGGGGGGGATTATACATACAATAGGAAACAAGGATCAAGATCCTTCCCACACAAATGATAAATTGTATACATACTATCTTCGGACAGATTGTGGGGATAAGTTAACATTCCTTGTTGCTATACCCTCAGTTACAGGGGGTTTGACTCAAAGGTAGATGTGTATGTTAAAGCACCCCATGATACCTAACAAAGGCAGCCAGCCAGGGCCATGCCCTCAGAATTGTTCTTAGTATTCAAAAATGCATTCCTCCTGCTATGACTCTGTACAAGAATGTATAGGCATAGATAATAAAACTTACTTCACTGCTGAGCTTATGAGGACACGGGCTTAGAAGTGTTAGAGGTGATTGGTCCACCAATCTGACAGTAATAGGAAGTTCAAAGTATGCCCAAGCCTCATGTCTCGGCACGGTTGGTAAATCAGTGTGCTGGACCAGGGTGGCCCCTATACATGTGTCTGATGGGGATGGCCCATAAGATAAGATCAGAAAACTCATGGTTGAGGAACGAGTCAAGCAGCTAATAAAAATAGTGTTTCCCCAGATACATTACCACCCCTTGATGCTGCCTAAATCATGGGGAGTTTATCTGGATGCTCAAACTTCTGATATTCTAGAGGCTACTCATAAAGACTTAAATGCTTCCAACCTAACTTTGGCTGAAGAATTTCTGGTTCTGCTTGGCACAGGGCTCTGGCATTCTTTGAGACCTTACTCCAGGGCTACTGGACTGTCCTAGCCACCAGAGAGTGGGTAAGTCATCCTAAGTAATAGCCCTCACAGGAAATGTCGACACTGCCAGATTTGTCACCGACAGAAAATTGCTGCTGAAGACTGAGGAAGTTCAGGGCAACAACAGCCCCCTTTAAGGTGTCCGTCTCAGATTCCAAGTTGCACTAAAGTCTCAGGTAAGACATTCTCTATATTTGTGGACATAGAGGCCATATATACAGAGGTCTTCCTGAGTATTCAGGCTGCTATATTAAGTCCTCAATCTCTGGGGGTATTGATGGTCAACCTATGCCATTTACAAACAGGGCCTATTTTGTGCAGGTCCCAGTCTTCTCACTTGGTTTATACTTTTTCAGGATACATAAAAGCCTTTCTCATACTTGCTAAAGTTCTGTTACAGCAAATCATTCCAAGGACTACAACCAGGTTACAGTGACCCATGCCTAAATCAAAGTTGCTAGACTGCCATCCTGGTTTCACATCACTCAGGCTAAGAGGTGCCCTCCCAGCCCTAAATCTGATCATTCTGAGTGGTCATCTCATCTTCTGTTGCCTACCCGTCTCCGTCTCACAAAGGCCTCACAGCCACAGTTAACAGGCTAAGTCACGTTTTGTTATCCACTTTGGTTCCTAATTTCTTACATTCTATTAATGATCATTTTTACAGCAGGACTCTTTAACAGTATTGCCTACAGACTCCAACATCATGCATACCAGAGACAAGCCTCACCAACCTACCGTCTTAACTTTTATGCTTTCAGATGGGGGAGTAATCACCTCTCATAACTCCACTCCTCCTAACCCCACGTTTAATTTTCAGAATTCTGCCTTACCGTGGAACATGTCTAAATCAAAGGCACCTTTCCTTCTACCTCACCTGGGTCCTTAAATATGACAGTGCCATGTCTCCTCATAATATTTTGTCTCTTTGTTTTTCCAGTCTGACATACGTGCATTTACCAGTGAAGTTGTCCTGGCTAAAACACCTGCCAGCAGCGTCTACCTGGGCATCAACCTTCATCCCATCGACTCCCCTAGGCTCCAGTACAGTGCCCTTTGCCAGCAGGAAGTAGTTAAAGAGAGAAATCTTCGCCCCTTTTCATAATAATAACCATAAGACGGGATATGAAAGGTTTTGGCCCAGACAGGACACTGTAGCCAGGAAAGCCACAACCGGAAGCAGGAAGCCCATCTTGCCCTGCCCCTAGGAAGTTACCTGTGACGCCATCTTCCTGCCCCTGGGAATTTACATATGGTGCCAAACCTAGGACCAATGGGCTACCTGTGTATCCCTAATGCCCACCTTAGGTTCCACCCCAAACCAAGGCTATTTACAGGCCCCCACGCCACGTGTCCGACGGAGAGATCGCCGGACGCCAGCGGTGGGGTGCCGGTCATCTCTCTCCGTGTTCTCAGAATAAAGGCCGCTTTTTATTTTATATTTCTCATCTTTTGTTAATATTTTTCATCTTTTAGAAATAACTCAATCACTTTCCAACCAGATTATTAGTGATGTGCAGGCATTATCTAGTACCATTAAGGTCATTTAAGACCAAATAGACTCGTTGGCTGAAGTAGTTCTCCAAAACACAAGGGGACTAGACCTCCTAACAGCAGAACAAGGAGGGATCTGTGTGGCATTGCAGGAACAATGCTGCTTTTATGTAAATAAATCCGGCATTGTCCGAGATAAAATCAAGAGATTACAGGAAGACCTAGTTAAAAAGAGGAGAGAGCTATTTAAAAACCCTTTATGGAGTGTCTAAAATGAAATTCTGCCCTATCTCCTGCCCTTGCTTGGACCATTGTTAGGAGTACTGCTCCTGGTCACAGTAGGTCCTTGTATACTCAATAAAATAACTACATATGTCAGACAACAAATGTAAGGCATAAAGTTGATGATGTTATGCCAGCATGCCTGCGAGCCCATACCTCAAAATCCTTAAAATTAGGTCAAAGATTTGACCTCAGTCACAACATCAGAGGGGAATGTTGTAACCTAGTTTTAACCATTGCGCCTCATTTTCTGTTCTATATGCGTCTTACTGCCTCCCCCTCCCCTTCCCTTCCTGTCTTTCTAAGTTAAATTTCAATTTCCTGAAAAGGTTGTAAAAGCCTTAGGTGTCAGTTTCCTGTAACCCCCTCCCCTACCCCTCATCCAGCTATCTGTAACAAAATGTGCTGTCCTTTAAGAAATGCTTAACTTCAAGGAAATTACAGGAAGTTCTGTAAGGCCCAAATGCTATCTGAGTCAAAGTTCGCAACATTCCTGTGGTTTTCGGCTTTAAAACCCAACCCTTCTAGCTGTAAGGCGCACAGTCTCCAAATTGGCTCCTGGAGATGGTGATGCCAGGCCTGGCCTAAAATAAAGCCTTTGCTCTCCAAATTTTAATTTCTTGCTTTCTTGGGTTTTATTCCGGAGTCTGAGCTATCACAGTTATAAGGTATGCATGAAGGACAGATGAATTTCATGTTTGGACTTGGATCCCATCCTCAGCATTATGTGGATGCAAACATTCCAGAGTCAGAAGAGGAATCAGCAATTCAAAGCACTCCTCATCCCAAGCAATTTGCATAGGGGATGTTTAATCCATATTAAGCCAGAATAAAGAAGCAAATTTTCCCTGGTCTTTTGTCTCCATTGCCTAGCACTTTGGTCTCACCTGGAAAAGGTTTGACTTGGCAAATACTACAGAGAGAGTCACAGGGGCACATGCTGAATGTCCATGCTCCAGATGAAAGGACAAAGGTGCTAAGTTTTCTTTAGGACTAGACAAAGGTATCCAGGCTTAACGTCTGCAGAAAGAAGACCCTACTCAGGACAACTGTCTCCATGGCAAGGATGCCCAGCACAAACTCCAGGGAGCAGGACAGATGTCCATCCAAGCCAGCCATAAAGTGCATCACCCACCTCTGAGAAAGGCATGTGGCTAGAGGACCCTGGGCAAGGGTGGTGGGAAAGAGTCTGTGAAATCCAGCAGTTCCTTTGAGAAGGGAAAGCAGCCCTTGAATATCTGTCAAAGTAATGGCCTCAACGCCAGATTTTGATGCAACCATCAACTCAGACTGTGCTCTTCTACTTCCTTCTCCTGAGTAGAGAGGAACAAAAGCAACAGCTGCCAAGTGGGAGAAACAAGACAAAATCAGCAAAGACACAGACCATGCTGGTCCCCACCCACAACTGAGTAAGAGAAAAGATTGTCTTCATACTACCACTGAGACTATTGCATGCCTCAAAGTGATGGAAAAAGACAAGAAGTTCTCCAGAAATCTTATTTAGGTACTTGAGGGACTCAACATACAAAATGATGGGGTACACAGTTATTTCCTATGGTATAGCCCTGAGCAGAGCCCCTTTTATACACTAGGAAGGAGGACTTGCCTATTTTGAAACATGATGACTGTTAGCCAGTGTTCCTTATGTTATTGATGAAATTACATTGGGTCAATGAGTTGGGGTTTGAAAAGATTATGAATATGTAATAATTTAAGACATAATTGTCATAGGATTAACCTATAAGCCCATTCATTAAAGAATATTCCCTATACATTAAAGTATATCCAGTGCATAAGTGTTCCCAAATTGCAAAAAATAGCAAAATACCATTAAAATTATGGCTAGAAGATAACTGTTCTTCAGTGCAAAGTAAAGCAGAGAATCAAATATGGGCTAAATGTAGAATTATTCTATCTCTAAAGGAACTAGAATTCTGACAACCCTGTCACGATAGGACGTAGAACTTCCTACACACGAAGAGTCCCAGTGTATGAAAAATCAAGATACAAGATAAAAACAACCTCAGAACACCAGCCTTGCTATCAATCCATTACAGAAATTCTTATTGTCTCTCAAGTAAAACAAGCAACAAGAGTACTGGAATTATTTTGCTCATTAAATTGAAATATTCAGTGAAATGCCAAGTAAAATATAATTTTTGTACCCAAGTCAAGAATTCCAATACATGGAAGAAGACAAATCTCACCTTCCCATGAGCCAGGCTCTGCCATGGGGATTGGGCAGAGACTCAGCAAGAAGAGACCAGCTGTTGTGCAAGTTGGGAAACCAGAAAAGCATCTGCCCCAACCCACCCCATCCCAGTAAACAACTGGCTGTTTCAGAGGAGTCGATGAACAGCTGGATGCTTATATTGTTTGACTGACTTTGCAGGCCTGGGGCTGGTGGTCTGGGCATCTGTTTGGAGGACAGCAGTGTGCACTGAGGTAACTGTAAGGTGTTTCTTCCTGTCTTGTTTTGAAATCCAATGTTTTGTTCTATTTTACTGTTTTGTTTTATTCCAGTGTCTGGTAACCTGAGCAACTATTTTGAAGATAACAATATGCAGTATAACTACCACTGTTAAATTCTTATCATCTTATTTTGAAAACCTATATAGCTATTGGCTTTTTGTTGTTGTTACTTATTTGCATTTTGATTTTTCTGAGGTTTCTTGTTTGTTTTAAAATTTTTTTTTTAAAAAGAATTCCAATCAATGAATTGTGGTGACCAGATGCAGCTCTAGATGTTCCCTGTTAGAGGAAAGGACACTGAGAGGATGAGAAATTAAAGAGACAAAGCTGGTGTCAGGTGGAGCCCTCCCTCATCCTCCTGATGGGGGAAAGGAACTGCTCAGCCACTGTAACATGTTTATTTATACCCTCCAAAGAAGAATGTCATTTCAGCCCTGCTACCTAGCAACTTGTTTTTTTTCCTGCTTGGCCTGGGCCCCTTGCCTTCTTGGAGCTGGAGCAGCTTGTTTACCAAATAGGTGCCATGATTAATGTGTCCCCAGTCATTCATTAGAAACTAGATCTTACAAATCTTCTAAAGTTTTTAATATTACAATATTTAGATTTTTATTGAATAATAGCAATTTCGTGTTTTGTTTTGTTTTTCTTTGTGTTTTGTTTTGTTTTGTTTTGTTTTGTTGTAGGGAATTGAACTCAGGATTTTGCACTTGCCAGGCAGGCACTGTGCTGCTGAGCTACATCCCTGGCCCCAAAATTTCACTTTGATAGCAGTAATTTTAATATTATATAGCCAGAGCTAGCAGTGCAATTCCCTAATCCTCACACTGTTGGTCTGAGGTCGGGGATCAAGAGTTTGAGCTTAGCCTGGGCAACTTAACAATTTGGTGAAATTCTGACTCAAAACAGTAAAAAAGAGGTGCAGGCAGAGATGCAGCTCAATGTGCTGGTAGTGGCCTCAATCACCAGTAACCCCCCCAAAAGAAAAAAAGGTTTCCGTAACCAACATTTGTATAGTGTTTACAATGGCCCATGTATAATCACAAATATTTTAAACTTCATACTAATCATTACTATCCCCATTGTACCAACAAGTAAACTAAGGTGCAAGAAAATTAATCTGCCTGAAGACAAAGGTGTCCCTGAGTTGCTGTGTCCAGGTGCCCGAAATGACGTGGCTTCAGATTCCTTGCCTTCAGTGGCTTGGCCGCTCTGAGCTGCTCAGGGCCTGTCACCTCTTCCAGGGGTCTAAGCAGGCAGTGGCTGCCCTTCCTGCTCTAGTTCATCACAAGCCAGAGGTGAGGAAGCCTCTCCTTCCACACCAACTCCCTGCTCTTCTTTCCCTGCCCTTCCTCCACAGAGGAGGCCATGCAGTGAGAGCCTTGCTAGGCTGAACCCAGCACACACTCAGCCCTCCCTGCCTGTGCTCCTCCTCTTTCTGTTTTCCAGATCACATGGAAGAATAATGAACTCCACAGCCAGGGCCTGAGGAGCAGAAGTAAAGTTTGCTTCCAGACATCCTCTTTCCTTCCCATGAGTAGATCTCTACCTCAAATAAATATTTTTAAATACCTCTACAGTAACACCTGATTTCTACTGATGTAATTTGTGCTATACCCATAAACAAAAGCCAGTCACAAACAACCCCGAGGTTTGCACACTCAACACCACACTGACTTCTAATTTCACACTCTCCTCTTCTCCGACACACCAAGAGAGCTTTGTGCAAAAGCGATGGCGTCAAGGGCATTTAATGAATTCCACACGGAGTCTAAAATGAGTCCTATGTATTTACATTTCATTCCATTCCCCTGTGGTTTGCAGAGAAAAGGTGTGGCCGCTTAACACAGCAAGCTCATTAACAAAGGTACAGTATTTAAGAATCAAGGGAAAACTGTGCCGACACGATTGACGATGGGTTATTCCATCTCACACTGAACTTGTCAGATAGCTTCTTAAATCATCTCTAGAGCTGGCAATAATTCCTTAATGGGCTACAGCCTGATCTTCCAGGGACAGAATAATTACTTCTCTAGCTCTCAAATCTCCACTCCACAACAGGAGAATAAATTGAACTTTCAGAACAAGTAGTCCATAACACTTATCCGCAGTACTTGAGCTTTACTTTTTAGGTTGTTGTTTTAGTTTTCTTATTTGTTTTTTTCTCTAGCACAAATTCAAAGTACCTATGTGGATTTGGTGATACATGATTAATGGTGCAGTGTTTGCTAATCTAGTAGTTCTAATCTTCCTTTTCTCAAAAAAAAAAAAAAAAGAGGAAAAAAAAAGGTTTCCATGGCGATCTTACTTTGTTTTTCTTAGGTACCAAAGTTCGAGGAATTATAATGGTAGATTACATTTGTAAATGCTGTAAAATGCCCCAAACCCATCCATTATATAATTATAAATACTCATGGAGAGTAGAGATAAAACAGAATCATCCTGTTCCTCCTGCCTGGAACAGGGTCACAGGCTATGGATGATCTGCAGAGGAGACCCACAAAGTATAATAATTAGCAATTTAAAGAACCTCACATCCACTGATTATTTAATCGAATCACCTCCCTATGGAGAATTTTTAATAATATGCTGACCTTAAGACAACATGGTCCTGCTGAGCCTTTGCTCGCTCTTACTCTCGCTCTGTCTCTCTGTCTCTTTCTGTCTCTCTTTGTCTCTCTCTCTCTCTCTCTCTCTCTTTCTCTCTCTCTCTCTCTCCCTCTCGAGTGCACAATGTAAGTTGTTTTGCTAGTAGCTGAAAGGAAGCCTATCTCTTTCTCACCCAAGGCTCTGCAACCAAAACTAAACATTGGGACTGGTTGATGAGAGGGAGGATTGACTACAGATATGGGCCTTGGCTAGCAATACCACTACGACAATGGGCAGCTTGGAAAGGGAGACAATGCTATCAGTTCCACTAGCTCTGTGCAGTAATCAGCTTAATGTCTACCACCAGAGCTAAGTACAGATGTTTTCCAGTAATAAGTAAAGCTATATAATTAGCAGCACACTTTTAAAAGTCTGGCTAAGAGTCTTACCCCTGTTAATCTCACCTTCTCAAATTTCTAGCATTGATTAAGAAACTGAAATTGGTATTAACAGAGATAAAGAATTCTAATTCCTTGTGAAAGGTTTGGCCCAGACAGGACACTGTAGCCAGGAAAGCCACAACCGGAAGCAGGAAGCCCCATCTTGCCCTGCCCCTAGGAAGTTACCTGTGACGCCATCTTCCCGCCCCTGGGAATTTACATATGGCGCCAAACCTAGGACCAATGGGCTACCTATGTATCCCTAATGCCCGCCTTAGGTTCCACCCCAAACCGAGGCTATTTACAGGCCCCCACGCCGCGTGTCCGCCGGAGAGATCGCCGGACGCCAGCGGTGGGGGTTGCCGGTCATCTCTCTCCGTGTTCTCAGAATAAAGGCCGCTTTTTATTTTATATTTCTCATCTTTTGTTAATATTTTTCATCTTTTGGAAATAACTCTATCATTTGTTGCCGTGACTCGATCGGCAGGCAACTGACTCTTGGGCCACATACCCAGAGTTTCCTCGCCGATAACCAGATAACTTCCTGGATTAATCCCGAGCTTTTTCCTCTCCCGAGACGTTCCTGTTGCCAGCCGCCTGCACTCCGCATCGGCCAGACTGATTTCAGGTGAGCACTCCCCGGGGAACTTTTCGCACTGGGCAGCCCCAGTGGAATGTTCTCCCCGTCTGCGTGGGTCTGTGCATTTTCACGTCCTTAGGACCGCCCAGGGCAGGGTTCTTTCTGGGCAAACCTGCGCCCACAAAATCTCTCACGTTCTTTGGGTTCGGATAGCCCAAAGCAGAGATTTTTGGGACCGCCCACACTGAAAGAATGCCTCACTTCCCTTAAAGCCTTGCGCTTTCACGGGCAAAACTGTTACTGATCCCACGTAGACTCCATTCGTAAATCTCAGTGACGACTGGAGTTTACGGTTTGGAACCGTTCCGCCGTGTGGTACCACAAATAAGTGACGACTTTTTCTGGACCTCCGGTTTTTTTTCTTGCCTGAATCAGTCATGGGGAACATATTTTCTAACTCCCAAAAGACGCCTTTAAAATGCCTAATTTCCAATTTACGTACTCTAAAAATTAAAGGTACCATAAAAACTAAACAACTAACTTTTTACTGCCAGGAGGTCTGGCCAACCTACCCGCTTATCGGCAAGCCTTGGCCTCGGCAAGGAACATTTGACCCCTGCATTCTCAGGAACTTGTATGATTTTTGTCAAGCTGGCAACAAGTTATTGGAACTCCCTTATGTCCAAGCCTTTCTTATTCTGAGAACACGCCCATCTCTCATTAAGTCTTGTGCTCCCGCTGAGATACTTTTAGCTAACTCTACCGCGCCGCAAACTTTTCCGTCCTGCCCTCCAGTGTTTTTCCGGCCGCCGCCTGCCTACCACCAAACTCGTTCCCTGCTGTTACCTCCCGCCGGACCGCTCTCTCCTCCCCCTGTGCCTGATTCTCTCAGCAGCTGTAATCCCTCTCCATTGCAGATACCTCCCACTGTACGATCGTCTCCCTCTCCGCCTTCCAGGACCCATAATTCTCCCAGCAGCTCTAATCCCTCTGTGTCGCAGTTATCTCCCGATGTTCCATCCTCTCCCCCGCCTTCTCCTGGGACCCATAACTCTCCCAGTGGCTCTGATCCCTCTGTTAGTGCTTCCTCACAGTCTCCAACTTCTCCTGAGAATTCTCTATCCCCTACAGCATTCTCACCGCCTGCCCACCATACTAGGTCTCGCTCGCTATGTCCTTCCAGCAGGTCGCGTGATTGTTCCAGCTTGCACAGGGAACAGTCGCCATGTTGCAACCCTCTGCCACATGGCATGGCGCCGCCATGTTCCAGAGGGCCACATGGCGACAGGGCGCCGCCATGTTTCAGGTCACGTGACAGGGCGCCGCCATGTTCCCAGGCACCGCCATGTTTTGGGTCATGTGACAGGGCGCCGCCATGTTTCCAGGACCCTCACTGTCAACGGGAGTCTCCTTGTGGCTCTTCTTGTGAACTGCAACAGCCGCCCTGTTGCAGTGCACATGACGCTTCATTGTGCTGCCGACAGCAGTCCTCTAGCTGGGAGACACACAGTGAGACGCCATCTGCTCGTGTTTCCCAGGGTGACCGGCAGCAGCTCTGTAGCTGCTCTACAGATGATTGCTCACATGCGCCTACTGGAAGGATGGCTGCTCAGTGGCCCTCTGCTCCGGAATCTCCTCAGGCTCTGCTACCACTTCGGGAGCAAGCTGGCCCCGAGAAACTTGTTAACATCCATGTGCCTTTTTCCCTTTCTGATCTATCCCAGATTACTCTTAAATTAGGTAGCCTCTCTGTTAACCCACAAAATTATATCCAGCAATTTAAATTTATTACTAATTGTTATGATTTACATTTTAAGGATGTTTATGTGATTCTAGATACCTCTCTCATCTCACAAGAACGGAATCAGCTGTGGCAAGCAGTTCGAGAAAAAGCTGATCACAGACATGAGGTAAACACCGCTGATAATGACTCTGGGCCTATATCTGTGCCAGAGCAGGACAAGCATACTAACTATAACAAACTTTTAAAACAGGTCCAGGAAGCTAATCAAAACCCAGCTGTGTTCCTAAATTGGCTTTCTAATCCTCGAGCCCTGCGAGCAGTTCCAGCTTCGCGCGCTGTGTCGGGCCGCCTCCCAGCCCCTCCCCCATGCGCCGTCCCAGCCCCTCCCTCCCCTGTGCGCCGTCGTCGCCGCTGCCATCTTACACGTTTCCGGGGGCAGTCTGAGCCCGCCCCTGCACGCTACATCCCAGCGCTTGCCCCACCCACTGGGCGTGCTCTGCCGGAGCACCGTGAAACAGCAGCTCAGCGGCTCTGCTCAGGCATGCTTTTTTTACAATTTGGTTCTGCTCAACAGATGCTTTTTATTACAATTCTCAAACCATTTAATCAAGGTTATTGGCCACCTGATAATTTTACCAGCTTTGTTTATCAATCAAAGCCTTCATCAATCTTCTGTTTAACAACTAAGGTTATAAATTCCTTTTTGCTGGGAACCACTAGCTCTATTTCAAGACAAGGGTTTTCTTCTAAGTTATATTTTATTTGTCTTGGTTCATACTACTGCAAATAACAACTTTAAAAGTAAATTAGATCAGTTTTGACAGATTTATTCATAAGATTGCTAAACCTTTACTGCAAAATGTTTCCATTAAAGCCTTGTTTGGTAGACTAAAGCTTTGTTAATTCTACGTGTCACCCTAAAAAAAAAAGCGATATGCCATCCAGATAAAGCCTGCTCTCTAATCCAAAATGCCAATATTAAATTCCTGCATACTTACTTAATTCTACTATAGTCCAAATCCCAAACAAAAAGGCAAAACTTGACCTTCAAACCTTAGAGAGATCTTAATATGGTTTTTCATATTTTTAATACTTGTGACACTTGGAATTCTGAGACAGGTAAACCTACACAAGGTGGAGCTGCCTGCCCCCTCCATGGACCACGCTCAAATGCAGCAGAAGATACTGGGCAAGAAAATGCCCCATCCTGGCATTCTTTGAGATCTTACTCCAGGGCTACTGGACTGTCCTAGCCACCAGAGAGTGGGTAAGTCATCCTAGCCCTCACAGGAAATGTCGACACTGCCAGATTCGTCACCGACAGAAAATCGCTGCTGGAGGCTGAGGGGGTTCAGGGCAACAACAGCCCCCTTTAAGGTGTCTGTCTCAGATTCCAAGTCGCACAAAACTCTCAGGTAAGACATTCTCTATATTTGTGGACATAGAGGCCATATATACAGAGTTCTTCCTGAGTATTCAGGCTGCTATATTAAGTCCTCAATCTCTATGATGGGGTATTGATGGTCAACCTATGCCATTTACAAATAGGGCCTATTTTGTGCAGGTCCCAGTCCTAAATCTTAAAATGCCTTTTATACAGGCTGACTTAGACACACTGAGGCCTCAACAGCTCCTACCTGTTGTTGCTGGTGGACCCTTCCTCAGTGATATAGACCACCCCCTTCCTTTCTTATTCACCAATTTGTCAGACAACCCTGGTCAAGACTGACAGATACATTTTTGTCTTCTCACTTGGTTTATACTTTTTCAGGATACATAAAAGCCTTTCTCATACTTGCTAAAGTTCTGTTACAGCAAATCATTCCAAGGACTACAACCAGGTTACAGTGACCCATGCCTAAATCAAAGTTGCTGGACTGCCATCCTGGTTTCACATCACTCAGGCTAAGAGATGCCCTCCCAGCCCTAAATCTGATCATTCTGAGTGGTCATCTCATCTTCTGTCACCTACCCGTCTCCGTCTCACAAAGGCCTCACAGCCAGAGTTAACAGGCTAAGTCATGTTTTGTTATCCACTTTGGTTCCTAATTTCTTACATTTTATGATCATTTTTACAGCAGGACTCTTTAACAGTAGTGCCTACAGACTCCAACATCATGCCTTCCAGAGACAAGCCTCACCAACTTACCGTCTTAACTTTTATGCTTTCAGATGGGGGAGTAATCACCTCTCATAACTCCACTCCTCCTAACCCCATGTTTAATTTTCAGAATTCTGCCTCACCGTGGAAATGTTTCTACCTCAACATGGTCCTGATAGAATGATATGTCTATATCAAAGGCACCTTTCCTTCTACCTCACCTGGGTCCTTAATAGGACAGTGCCATGTCTCCTCATAACATTTTGTCTCTTTGTTTTTCCAGTCTGACATACGTGCATTCACCAGTGAAGTTGTCCTGGCTAAAACACCTGGCAGCAGCGTCTACCTGGGCATCAACCTTCATCCCATCGACTCCCCTAGGCTCCAGTACAGCGCCCTTTGCCAGCAGGAAGTAGTTAAAGAGAGAAATCTTCGCCCCTTTTCATAATAATAACCATAAGACGGGATATGAAAGGTTTGGCCCAGACAGGACACTGTAGCCAGGAAAGCCACAACCGGAAGCAGGAAGCCCCATCTTGCCCTGCCCCTAGGAAGTTACCTGTGACGCCATCTTCCCGCCCCTGGGAATTTACATATGGCGCCAAACCTAGGACCAGTGGGCTACCTATGTATCCCTAATGCCCGCCTTAGGTTCCACCCCAAACCGAGGCTATTTACAGGCCCCCACGCCGCGTGTCCGCCGGAGAGATCGCCGGACGCCAGCGGTGGGGGTTGCCGGTCATCTCTCTCCGTGTTCTCAGAATAAAGGCCGCTTTTTATTTTATATTTCTCATCTTTTGTTAATATTTTTCATCTTTTGGAAATAACTCTATCACCTTGGCAGCAGGCTAGACTTCATGGAGACTGATTATACAAGGAGACACACACTGGACAAGAAATAAAGGAAAAGAAATGTGCAAATATAAACAGAAGAGAGGGTAACACAGAGAAAAGTAGAGACAGGGCAGTACGGATGGTCAGAGATA